AGATCTACAATTTGATCTGCAAGAAAATAGAATTAACATAGAAATTCTTAAAAATTCTATAAGTAGAATTTTTAACCATCACAACATTTTATATTAAACTAACTTATCTAAACTAAAAATACTCAGACTACTTGAAATATGCTTTAATATATTGTTTGCTACCCTAAGACTCAAGGCATATTTATATAAAAATAATTACATAAAGTATTTGAAAATATATAAGAAATATAAAAAATATAATAATATAGTAAATATAAGAATAAAAGAGATATAATAAATATAAGAAATATAATAGATATATATAAGATTGTTGAATAAATCTAGAGTTTACTTAAGCATCTAAATGGTAAAGTTAAAACTTAGTTAAATTATATTAAAACCTTATTAAAAAAGCTGCAAATTCAAAAAAAAAAATAAAACTATATTAAAGCTTATAAAAATGGTAAACTATATCAAACACTTAGTAAAAATTTAGTAAAATTAAATGTTTAGATGTTTAACCAAATCAAAAATGGGTTTAAATAAGTAATATTAAATATATATCATAGAAGATATAGAAGATATATATGACATATAAGTATTATATTTATACATATCATCTGGATCATCTATATTAGGGATTGGATCTATTCTAAAAAATAAGACCTGGGTCATCTAGCAGATAGTCATCGGGTCATCTGGATAATCAATAATTTTACCTGAATGAAATTTTACCTGTTATACCTGGATAAATTTAATATACAAAATACTACTCAATCAAAATTTTATTATGAAAAATGTTTATTATTTTTATTTAAATGCAGTTATTGCATTTTATCAACCCCAAATTTTACAATATAAACTATTTCTTTTGACATATAATAACTGACTGACTACTTCAGATGCTAAATGAATTCTTTGTGAGATAATTTGATGAGAAAGGCTGTTCACTTGAAATGGAAGTAGTGGAATTGATAAATATTTACGTGCCATTTTACTTAAAATAGGAAATAAGTGTTGATTAATACACCACTATTAATAAACATCAGTAGCTTCAGGTAAAGTTAGTGTGATTATTTCATTCAAATAATTATCAATTTTAATTTCATGATTTACTTGATTTTGATCATGACTAAAGATTTTTTCATAAAAGTAGGTGCTAATGAAGAACTATTTTCAATATTAGTTAATGATTCATTGGTTATAACTAAATTTTGCCAAGTTTTAAATTTATCATATAATTTATTGATTATTTCATTTCGAATTTCTTCAGACTATGCTTTTATTGATTTTAATTATAGATCTAATAATGTAACAATTAATCCAATATTTTCTGAATCATACTAATAATGCTAAAGGAAATTATATATAATACCTCGAATTTTTGAAATTATTGTTTTGGATGAGGGTAAATTTTGACAATTGGTTATACTTCAAAGTCGATATTTATGCGTAGTAGATGTTTGAATTTCCATATTATCTTCAAAACTTTTATTATTAAAACTTTCATTATCTGATAAAAGTATATTTGAAATTTATAAAAAATTAAGTTTTAATTTTTGATTTATATAATTAATGATTTATTTAATACCTTCATTAATATTAATTTCATTTTCATTAATAATTTTTTTTAATTCTTCTGGTGTTAATGTACCACTATTGGCAAATTCAAATTTAAAGAGTGGTATACTGAATTCCACTAAAATAGGATGTCAATTTATCAAATGGTTTTAGTACATTTACTAACTCATTTAATAATAATCATTCATGCTCTTTAAGCATAAGACTTTTTAATTTTCTTTAGCACTATCTTCATTTTGTAAATGCAAAGTTGCAACAGCCATTCAATTGCTGAATATAAGATTAAAAGTCTTTTTTAAGATTGATAAGTAGAATTCTATCAAGTTTTTACATCATTGATAGTACGCAAAATTTTAAATTCTGTTGATTTAACTGTTTCTAAATCATTATCTATTTCTAATAAACTTTCAGTAGAATTATTAATTTTATTACGCATATTCAAATCAATTTGAGCTTAATCAAGATGTTGACTTTGTTTTGAGGATCTAAAAAATTTAACAAGCTTTCAAAACTGTTTGGTATATGGTTTAATTTCTTTTAAAGCCTGAATGACTGTGAGTTGAAATGTATATGCAGAGCAAAGGAGACGTTCTACACCATCCCAAATTCTAATAGCCTTTTTCATATTTTTTTTATTATAAGTTATTGCACAAACTATTTTTCCAGTTAATTCAAATTCCTCAATTTTTTCATTTAAGTATTCTTTGATATATTCACCAGTATGTGAATATTCTATTCTTTTAACAGCTTATATTATATTATATATTTCAAAATTAGAAAATAACTAATGAAGAGTTACACCAATGTATCCATCATTACTACATGCTATCCATAAGTCTGTTATTATAGATGCAGTTTCATTAAATAATAGAAATTAACTTCTTAAATGCTAAAATGCCTTTTTGATAAGCAATCGCAAGATCTTTTTTAATACTTTTATTATTTAGCAAAATAAATATAGGATCAAATTTTTGTATTATTTTTTTATATCCTTTTCTATGAATAACATTAAATGGTAAGGAATCTGTAACTAACCATTTAGCTGTAACTTGTTTTAATTCTGCTTGTTTAGGTACATGATGTGGAATTACTTTTCTAATCATTTTATTGATATGTGTTTGAATTTTTTCATTAAAATTCAATTGAAGATCATCTGCTGATGAAATTACACGTTTTATTTGAAGATGTTGTTTTATGTTACCAGTTTCACCATCATGCTTATAATTTATCTTACATTCAACCTCTTCACCTTTTAGAAATATAAATATCACATTCATTTTCAATTTGAAAATATTCCTAAACATAACTTGACTTTTTGGTTTTAGAATTATTATTGATAAAATTTACTCTAATTCTTTTCATATTTGGTTTCGCTACAGACTCCTATATAGCTTTTCTTTTAATTGTATTAGATGAAATTTCATCATCTTGAGTGTCAGTATCAGAAGTATATTCATTATTATTATCCATATTTCTTGAAAAAATAGGCATAGAAAATTAATTGAAAAAGTACAAACGAAATGTTTAATTTAATTTTTATTATTTATTATTAGGATATATTATACAATAAATTATTTCTCAAATTAGTAACAATTTATTTAAATAAATGACATCAATATTTACATTCAATTATATAAATTTCACATGTATAAATAAATAAATAAATAAACTAAAAAATGGTAAATTAATCAACAGGTTAACTAACTGACAGGTTATTCACCTGCAATTACCTGGGTTTTAGTATCATAACCTGGATATTTGGCCTACCTGTGAGTAATTCAGTTATATCCAACCTGGATCTAATTCCTAATCTATATCATCTTCGTATAATAATATTAATATCTTATTATTTTAGATTTTAGATAATAAATCTGAAATAAAGATAAAAAAACTTCAAGTGAAAAATAAGACAACTTTATTTTATAAAATATTTTATTAAGAAGATTAAGTAAAAGATACTTAAATTTTAAATATATTATGTTATAAAATCCAAGTATTGATGGTTATATATATTTTTATTTTATAATACTATAAGATATAAAAACTTTTATAAATGCTTTTAAATTAGATTTAATAATTAACTAGGAAATGGGAACCGTTATAAGTCTAAAGCTTTTTTATATAATTTAATAAGCTATACCAAATTAATGTATATATAGTGAGACCTCTCTAAATGTACCTTCACTAAATGCGCGCATATATATTTATTCTATAAATGCACATTTCACACAGCTCCAAGTATATAAAGATCATACAAAATTTCTCTCTTTAAATGCACACCCCCTTTAAATGCACATTTTTTCAAATTTTCACTATGATCCTAAGGGGTTGCATTTAGAGAGGTCTCACTGTATCTTTGCAGATGACAAAATCTGCAAATCTAATATTTACCATATTTCTTCAAAAATAAGCACTTCACGAAAATAACCAGAATTATGATAATTTTGGCCAAAATTATAAGAATTTTGACTGGCATTAAGTGCAAAAAGAGGTGTTTATTTTCAAAGGAATATGATATATTATCCATAGCCTATTGTATTCGTCCATAATTTTTATTTATTTCATTGTATTATAATTTGATATTTAAATTGTAAATTATATAAAGTATAGAATTTGGCTAAAAAAAATTTATTATTTGGCAGTAAAGCTGAAATTACAATAATGACAGTCAATTTCTATAAAAAGTAATATAATTTCAGATTCAAACTAGTATTACAAATAGAGCTGGATATTATCCGGAAAATCTGTTTAGATTAAATTATTCAGATAACCATTAACTTGTACTGATCATTCCTATCAAACACACCTGAGAAAATAAATCTGAGACATATTTTCAGTTTTAGGTACCTTTACATTTTGCGTAGGCAATAACAGTTCATAAGAGTCAAAAACTTACATTGCCAAAAGCTAAAATCGATCTTGAAAGTAAGGAGTTCACTGCTGGTCTTTCATTTATTACAGTATCAAGAGTTCATTCACTAGAAGATATTTATTTTAAGCAATTTACTTTCGAAAAACTTCAACAAATTCAGAGCTGCAAAAGTCTACAAGAAAGAAAGGCTAAAGAAGAGCGTCTACTTTCTATGATATTAAGAGAGTAAAAAAATTAAATTTTTTTAGCGATATATAAATTATTTTACAAAATTTTTTATTTTTTAGCAATATTATATATGAATTAATTTCTTAATTTTTTTTAGTGATTATATATTTAGTTTTACACTAAACTATTTTATAATAATAAAGTTTTATACTAATTACAGAAATAGTAAAGGTATTGTGATTCCTTCCTTTATTTGTTGTTTATACCAATCATACGTATTGACTCAAACAACAAGCGGATAGACATCCGGACATTTTGAGTCAAACAGCATAGAATTATATAGTTCTTCGCTACACTTCAGACAATTAATCTTATAAAGTATACTACTACCTTATATTTTATTTCAAAACTATGACAAAATATAGGTTCTGATGTAGACATCAAAATAGTGCTCAATAAGTTCTCTGATCATTCACGAATCAATTCTAGCCATATGAATCAATTATTGAATTTAAGCCTTCTTGCACAATTTGGCTCAAATCTAGATATCAAAGATGTTGGTATCGAACTTGACTAGGAATTAGCTTGTCTAATACTAAGAATTACACTGATTGATATAGTCATTTTAGCCTGATTTTAATCCCATTTAATATATCAAAAATTTTTACTATTCTGTTTGTATCTGAAAAAATCATCGAAATCAAAAGATAAAGTGATGAGATTTAAGCTGGACCTGACATTGCAAACCTAATATAAATAATAACTTTTATGCTATTCTGCTTACCTCTAGAAGGGTCATCAAAAATCAAGAAACAAAGTGATACGATTTGAGCTAGAACTGACTAATATGCATACTATATTTCATGATATCTTATAGTTAATTCTAAAGTTGATTCATTATCAGTTAGTAATACTAAAAATTTACACATATTGTGAAGCATTGGCATAGGTGTAAATTTTTATATGTGTATAAGAAGTCTAAAAACTCTAAACTAAATTCTAGTATAATAATGATTTTTTAATATAAAAGGCAGTCAGTAGAAAAGGGGAAATCTAAATTTTGGTCAAAATTTATATTATTAGACTACTTGGCTAATCTCAATTATTTAATAATAAAAATTAACAAAAATTTTTAGATTTCTTCTTTTTCTACTGACCACCTCCTATATACAGAAAATCATTTTAAAGCTAATTCATATTCACAAAACTAGGGTCATTAAATCTAACCTTAGGTGTAATTTTTTTAGGTTAGATGTAAATTTTTCATAAATATTTAAGAAAAGCAAAAAATTATAGACCAAGTTCTAGTATACCATTAATTTTATGATATATCAGAAAACATTCTGAAGTCGATTCATATTCATAAACACTAGGGTAAAAGTTTTATCAAAAATTGGGATGGGTATAAATTTTTCAAAGTAGTTGAGCATAATATATCTTCTAAAATGTATATCCCGAAGTCTATTAATATATTGGATTACATAATAAATACTAGCATGTTTTCTACAAAGATTAGGTTCAGTGCTAGTTGGTTTATCACAAACTTTGCATAAAAAACGCTTTCTAGCTTTCCAATGTTTAAAACACCCTTAGACTGATAACAGGTCTGCTCACAAATGCTTTCAATTCTGAGTAAATAGTTACAGGAATATTCATCTATTGTAAGTGATAATAAGAAATAAATATTTTATTTTAAACAAAAGATTTTATTATATTAATACAAGTACTGGAGTAGAAATATCTTCACAATGAGTACACAAATTCAATTAATTAAAATAAGCAAATCCAATAAGTTAAACCCACTTCCTAGGAAGTTAAAAATACTTTAATCAAATGCTTAAGGCAGTGATTCTCTGTGGAAGACCAAAAAATGATAAGTTTATGCAGAATTATAAAAAGCGTATTCTAGAATTATGTCAGACAGAAGATCCTAAATCATATATCTTAAAAATGTGAGAAGACTATTTCCAATAGAAGACAAATATAAGCAAGTTATTAGTAATTATAAATCTTATTATGATAAAGATTTTAAAATTCTTAATGCTGTTATAGAACTATATGGTTATACTATAAGTTAGCTAAGGATTATTTTATTACAGAAGAATAAGCTAATAAAATACTTGAGGATTTCCTTATTTTGTAAGCATCTACTAAGGAGGTAATTCTGAGTCAGGATGAATATTTTTTCTTGCACAAAAGATCTTTCAGGATCATAGCATTCATTATTTTTAAGCCAGTATAAGACCAGCTGATTTTTTTGTACTAAAGCTTTTCAGATATGATAAATTTTGGAAGACCAATTCATATTTCCAGCATTTCTACTCTTACCACTTTCTAACTTACCAGGTTCAAGTAAATATCTTATAAGATTATTATAGGATAATTGCTTTTCATAATATCCTATAGGACTATCACAAGGTTTAGAAGGCTTAGATATAACACCTTTTCTTTCTATTGCATTAGCAGGAAAAATACCAAGTTAACATGTGATAAAATTATGAATGTCCTCAATAACTATAGGCAAATTCTTTATCCAAACTCGAGATCATTTATCTAAATACAAAATCAAGAAATCAGAAGCATCCTAAGATAGAAACAATTTTTCAGTTAAAATTCAGTTATATCTTTCAACAAGTCCAACAGTTAGCTTAGACTTAGCCTTCTGAAATCTAGTATCATGTTCTTTTAGTAACTTCTCATGTTCTCAGAATTCTTATCAGTAATTAGCAATTTTGGTCAAACAAGAAAGCACTCAGGTCATCATAGATTTTTTCAAGAGCTCAAGCAATAGTTTTTGAGGTCAAGATACCTAGCCTGCTTATCCTTGATACTAGTAGCATCTATAGGAACAGATGCTTTATATCTTAAAGTCATATCCATCACATTAAGACTAGAACTCTAAACAAGTCAGGTCAGGTTGAGTAATTGACTTGACCCTACCTAATAAGGTCAAGTTAGGTCAGACATAAAATTGACCTGAATTAAATATACATTTGACCTGACCTGACCCAATCAGTCTAAAAAAGGAAACTAAACAATTATTAATTTTATTTAATATTTTTTTAAAAAAATATAAAAAAATATTGATACATTTTTACATTTGATTATTTTTCAAAAAAAAAAGATACTAATATAATTATTTTAACCAGTGTTTGAAAATGACCTGGTCATTTGACCATTTAAATGATTTGTCTATTCCTTTGTCATAATCATAAATTATTTAGCCTTTGTCATTTAGTCATTTGCTTTTACAAAAAAATTAGCGATACTCTTAAAGAATCGCAAATTCTTAGCAATTTTATCTCCTAATGATAAAGAATCATTCCAAAGGATGATAGAAGGATAGTTCCGGTAGAACGATAAAAAAAATCATTCCTTAAGAATAATACTACATCGTTCTAAAGGAACGATGAAAAAATCGTTCCTTAAGAACGATAAAAGGTCGTTCTATCAGAACGATGAAAAAAATCATTCCTTAAGAATGATAAAAGATCATTCTAAAGGAACAATAAAAAAAAATCGTTCCAATAGAACGATAAAGATCATTCTAAAGGAACAATACAAAAAAATCATTCCAATAGAACGATAAATCATCGTTCTATCGGAATGATAAAAAAAATCGTTCCAATAGAACGATACTACATCGTTCTAAAGGAACAATACAAAAAATTATTCCAATAGAACGATACTACATCATTCTAAAGGAACGATACAAAAAATCATTCCAATAGGATGATAAAGATCGTTCTAAAGGAATGATACAAAAAAATCATTCCAATAAAATGATACTGCATCGTTCTATCAGAACGATAAAAAAAATCATTCCTTAAGAACGATAAATCATCATTTTATCGGAATGATAAAAAAAATATTCCTTAAGAACGATAAAAGGTCGTTCTATCAGAATGATAAAAAAATCGTTCCAATAGGGCGATACTATATTGTTCTGAAGGAACGATACAAAAAATCATTCCTTTAGAATGATTCTTCTATCGTTCTACCAGAACAATGCTTTTAATTGTTCCTTTAGAATGATTCTTCTATCGTTCTATCAGAACGATACTTTTAATCGTTCTTTTGAATAAAACTAAATAATTGTTCAATTTTTACCTCGAATTTAGCACTTGACTTGACTTGTCTGACTCATAATTTGAGTCAACTCGTCCAGAACTCGAATATAATTTAATATATTATTATATACTATATAAAATATTTGCCTAATATAAAATAATTTTTATAATATATATAATTAAATATTTTAATAAATTTAACTTATTTACACTATAATAAACAAAATAAATAATAAAAATTTATAAAATTTGCTATATTTAAAAATTATTGAAATGACTGGTCATTTGATAATTGAAATAACAGATCATTTGTCATTTGTCATTTGAGTCATTTGCCAGTCATAATCATTTGGCGAACACTGATTTTAACTGCAGAATTTAAATTTACAAGTTGCGATAAACTGGTAACTACTAATATAATTAAAAAAACGTTCATAACTTTACAACCATTAATCCAATCATAATAAAATTTTATATGCACATATTTTTGAACCCACTGAACAACTTTACTTACACGACAAAAGTTGACCAAAATATTTAAATTACTCTTTGAAGTCATTGTATAGATAAAAAATAAAAATAAAAAAATTTATGAGATAATATAAATACGAAAAACATACATAATATTACAACCATTAATTCAATCATAATAAAATTTTATATGCACATATTATCGAATCCACTGATGAACTTTACTTAGTGACCAAAGTTGATTTCCTTTGACCAAAATGCTTAAATTGCTGTTTGAAGTCACTAAATGAATAAAAAAAAATAAAAATATTTTGTGAGATAATACAATCATGAAAAATATTCATAACTTTATAACTATTAATCCAATTATAATAAAAATTTATATACACATATTTTCGAAACTGCTGAGCAACTTTACTTATGCGATGAAAGTCAATTTTCTTTGACCAAATTGCTCAAATATCTCTTTTAAGTAATTGAACAGATAAAAAAAAATTAAAATAAAATTGTTGAATAATATAATTACAAAAATATTTATAATTTAAAATTTAACTTTTTGATTATAATAAATTACAAAGTAATTATACAACAACTTTATTAGAATATATAAAAAAAAGTATATTAAATAAAATTAAAGATGTTTTAAAAAAAAATAGACAAAAAAAAAATTTTTTTTTTAAATATTTTATTTCGTTTAATTTGATTGGTTGACCTGAATTTTATCAGATCGGATCATAAGTTTGACCTAACCTGATGTTAACCTGAAAATTTGTTTACCTGACCTGGATTTTTCAGGTCGGGTCAGATTAGGTCACAGGTTGACCTGACCTGATTCGGAGTTCTAACTGAAATAAATAAATAAATAAAGTATATTTCTTTAATTGCTTTAATACAATTTTAATTATTTGTTATAAACCAGTGAAATAAGTGATAAGAATTCCACCGATGTATACATAATACTGATGGAATAAGTTAAAATTGTTATTCTAAATTAGTTTTGGTTAAATAAAATCTAGTTTTAGTAGTTTTTAATAAGTCTAAACTACAGAAATTTAGTTTTGAATAATAACACTATAATAAGTTTAAAAAACTAATACAAAAATTGTACTATTTAATACCTGATCACATTACGGATCATATGATTTACTATGTCTCATGACTAGAATATTATTGAAAATACTATATTTCATAAGTTAAATCAATTGGATAGAATTACCTTAGTCCGATGGATTTTGGACTTAAATTAAACAATACAATGTTCAATAGTCCAATAGTCCAATAGTCCAATAGTCCAATAGTCTAATAGTTTAAATAATCATCAGTTGTAATATTACAAACATTATATATAATACACAGTATATATAACATTATATAACTACAAGTATAAGTATTATTGATGAATAAGCAATCCTTTTTCTTGTAAATAAAAAGAGGTTGATCAAACAAATTATTCAAATTTTATCCAATATATAAGAGGGTGGAACAAAATCTCTCTCTGAAGCACCCGTATAAATATCTAATATGATACATTAATTTTTTTTCTATATAAGCTAAATTTTACCGATTAAAACCGGTTAAAAATTTAAATTAAAGCCGGTACAGAGCTAGCGAAAATTTGAATCATGTGTTAAATGAAATCTGGTTTATTATATAAGTAAATATCACAATGCTATATAATGTTTTAATTTACTAGGTTCAACCATTCTGGATACCTATATATATTCTATTCCATTCTATCATCAGAAAGAATAATAATGTCATCAGGCTTTGTAAAATGTAAATCGTTCCCAATTACGCGTATCGCATATAAAGTTTTGAATACAATATCATTTTATTTAAAAATGATTACAAGGCCAATAATTCGTCAGCTATTGGAATTCACGCGCCTATCATCTAACTAAATTCATTAGTACTTTCGACAAGTTCTAAAGGCTCTTTCAGACTTTTCATCTGGAAAACTTTCAAAAGATGATGGTTGGTAGCCAGCTAAATCCACAGACCAAAGATCTTCAGTGTCGCAAAAATTTTTACCCCCGTCTGAGTGGATTGGCTAATTTACGCGATTTAGTATGTGATAACAAATTTGCTTCATTGGAAATAATACAAAAATTGTATTATATAACTTGTTAAAAAAAGCCTAGGGTAGCTTGGTTTTTTTTTGTTGAACCTATCACGTTAATGCTTTAATTGGTAGGTAGATGTCCATCAGGGTAATTAACTCAATTTCAAACTAAAATTCATGGATGCAATATCCTATTGCAATAATAAAGTTATCACCAAATCAAAAATTAAAATAAAAATTAAATACTAGTACCATTCTATTAATGATTATTGTTCTTCTTGCAACATTTTTGTCCAATCCCATTTCTTCCATTTTTTCATAAATTCTTGAATACGATCAGGGTTATCTCTTGGATTTAACTTCTTGGGTTTTCTCCATAGGTTTGGAGGTAAATCGCATATCCCAGCAAGAATTTCCTTTCCAAACCAAAAAGGAAAGGCTTTCTCTTTTTCTATCACATGCCCGTAACCTTTATCTAATCCAAACCAAACATGAAAATATGGTAATTCTTTAACCATTGACCTTCTAAAAGTGGCTTTAGATGTGTCAATTAATTTTCTGTTCTGAGACCATTCTCCACTACTTTCCAGGATTCCTTCCTACATAGTATTTTTGCAAAGAAATTAGTATAAACAATAATGATAATATAGTCTATGTAAGGGCAGCGACATATATGAGATAATATTTTAGGGAGTGGCTTTAGCCAAGAATTTTATGCCACATAATTACTATATAAAGACCTTACAATCGAACTTGGGTAAATATGTCACTACCATAATATGATGAAATAATTCAAACCTTGAAATATGCGGGGGCATCCTGAGCCAAGTCCCAAGGCATTGGTATACATTCTATCACAGTGTGGTTATTCCATTTCATATTAATAACTGTTTCCATAAAGATAATCCCACGACCTTCATCGGCAAACATTTGGATTAAACATTTCATAAAATTCTAAAAAAAAAATTGTTTTTTAAAGGAACAGAGTTTGAATTAACAATAATAATTAAGAATATTTAAAGAATAAAATTATGTTTTGAACGTACCCGTATTTCATCCCATACGTCATCATCACATTCTAATGTTGAAATAACGTGTTGAACAGGAACGATCAAACAATGGCCTTGCGTCATCTCTACTACATTTGGCAAGGCAATGTATGCCCTGTATCCTAGAGATACCATGGCAACTTGAGGCTTTGAATTATCTTTTAAGCAATATATGCAATTATCCAAAACTTGCTTTGATTTTTGGAAATCTAGTAAAAAAAAAAGCTGATAAGTTCCCAATGCTAAATCATTATGTGCAAAGCTGTCATATAAAGTTTTATATTACCCCTAATAGCAAATTCTTTCTTTTGCTCGAAAGATCTTGTTTGTACCTTTGCTATACTATCTGCCTTTTCATCCATATATTCTAAATCATCCTAATCGTAATATAAAATAATTGATAAATAATTTTTTTTTTTTAAAAAAAAAAAGAAATCATAATTGATAAGCTCACTACCTGAAACATGGAATCTTTCATAATCCTTCCCGCGATTTGTGAATCCATCGTATCCCTATTTCCAAATTTTTCCTGACGTATTAAGTCTTTTAATGTAAGATCGTCATCATCCTGGAAATAACGGATCCGCTCACCACTCGTATCATGTGTATCAACCTACCATATTCATAAAGGTCAGGATTACTAACTTTAACAAAATTTTCTCACTTAATTTTCATTCTTACCTTTTCTTTCTTACGACGTGAAGGTCCAGCTTTCTGTGGAGATTCGGATTTCTGTCCTTGAAGATCATAAAGTCTACCTTTGCTATCCAACATAGACAATACTTCGACATGTGGCTAAAAACACATAAATTAGTGTTTTCCAAATATATTTAATTTTAATTTTAAAGGATTCACAAACATACTTCAGAATCTTCAGGACCAGCCTCTACTTTTTTCTTGGCTTCCTCATATTGCTTCTCTAAATCATCCGCATTAGGCATATTCATCAACCTGGCTCGAATAGACTTTGCTTGTAATTTATTTAAGTCGGAAACGGATAAAGTGGGTTTGGGAGATGATACCGATATGACAGATGGTATAGTTTGTTTACTCGTACTCGAAATATGCTTCAAGCCATCATGATTAGGTGGTGAAGAAGATCGTGACCGTTTTTTTGAATAGTTGCCACTGGAAGTAGATGAATAATATAAACTATCTTGATCTTGTGGTCGTTTAAAGGTTTCTCTACTAAACGGATTTCTAAAATTGGTAAATACAGTCTGAGAACTTGATTCGACTTTAATACCTGCTCTACCACTTCCAGAAGGTATAAAATCACTTTCATCTTGAATTAAACTCTCGCGATCTATTGGAATCGAACAAATTAAGCATTTGTACAAGGATATTAAAAGATCAAAGTATTGGACGTAAATAACGTACCCGATTTTTTATTCTTTATGGGTTATAATAGAATAGATATTAAAGTTTTGTACAATAAATAAATATAAGAGAAGGATAGAAGAGAATTGACTTACCTGTAAAGAATCTTTTGAAAACTCACTCTCTAACATACGCTTGTCTAATTTTTCATGATCTGATTCAGAAGAACTACCTTCATCGCCTTTGCTATGGTCTTCATGACGAGTTCGTTTTTTATGATGCTTCTTATGTTTCTTATGTTTACTTGACTTTTTCTTTTTGGAATCTTTGTCCTTTTTTGATTTCTTGGAAGGTTTGGAACATAGATCGGAATCCATAACTAGATGGTTGAGGTGTAGGTGCAGAAATTTCTGCTATAAATTTGTTACGTCACAACTTTCACAACGATCATATGGCAACATTCTAAAATTTAAATTTAAAAATAAAACTAAAATTAACTAATATTCTAAAATCGGACACATGTTTTTGGTCATGATAAATTATTTGTTACATCATCCCCTCTTTTTACCTAAATTGGAAATCAGATAAATTAGGGGTAAATTTATCACGAGATTAGATAAGAAAATTATATATATAAAAACTTTCATTCTTTAAAGATTTTCAATGGGGTTAAATTTTTTTTTGAAATGATAACGGTTTTTTGCATAATTGCATAAAACGAATGAGACGATTATTTATTTTGAGTTCTCTGATTTGAACGAATTACCTTCAGCATTCAATACGTGCTTAGAGAAGAAATTAACAATATATCCATCCCATTTATTCGAATAAAGGGTTATCTCGGTATAAAAATTACAAAAATCGAAATACGGGATTAATAATGGCATTCCCACAGATGAAAAAAAGGTTTTCATTGTTCGGTTCACCACCTTTAACACCAACAATTTTAAGTAATACATCATCATTATTAACCACACCACAAGAAATATGTGACGATAATAAACCCACATCTGATGAGATTCGTAAATCATTTGAAAATTTAGAAAAACTTGTTTTGGCTGCAGATGAATATAGAGATTGTGTGAGCAAATTAAGTAAAATTTCAAGAAATTTTAGTAAATGTTTAAAAGATTACAGTAATGGTAAAGGGATTGATAAATCTTATGGTACGTTTTTTTATAAGGATATATGGTTGGTCCATATCTTCAAAAAAGGTTAATTCTAATTTTTCTTAAAAAAAAAAAAAATTGAAAATAAAAAGTTCAATGCTTACTATTTATAACCCAATTTTACGAGAATCACGCTGAAGTACAGGCTAAACTGGTGAGTCACACATTATTATATATAATATTCAATCGTAAAGTAATTATTAAGTTGTATGATATATTTAACTAGAACAAAGCTTTACAAAAAGAATTCGAAATTCTACAAAGGTTCTGGGATAAATATTCAAAGAAAGTTGCGGTATGTAAATAATTTTTATTAAGTTTTGAAATTTTAAATTTTGAGCAAGCGCTGATAAATTAAATTAAAATAATAATATTAAGAAAGATGAAAAAGCTCATGATGATCATGTTGGAGATTTAGATAAGCAAATCAAGAAAATTAGTAAAGATTATGAAAAAAAAAGTAAAAAGGATAATAAAGCATCTCACGAAGTGCGTATTGAATTTTATTGAATTTACTTCACACCCCCAAAAATGTATTTATTTTCATTAAATCTTTCGTTTCATAATCCAACAGAAATATGTGGCATCGTTGACATCCATTGGTTCAGACGTTGCACGGGTACGAACAGATTATGCAGAGGAAGTGACGAGACGAGAGAAGCATACTCATTCTGTAATATCACAAATTTTTTGCAGATTTACTGAAGGTCAATTCGCTTCATTTAATGAATCATTGAAGAAGTGTGAACCGAGTATTACCAAGGTAAAGGAATGGACACCTTTTGCCGGACAAGACATACCTTTACCATTGGATCTTGATGGTTTTTTGGAAATGCAAACCATGACTTTACCTGAGAGTGATGATAATAATCATAATAACGAACCTATTACTTCTAAGAAACTACCGCGAAGACCTTCGTATAGAATATCACAGTATATAGCTTCAATATCAGAAATGCAAAAGGTTGCTATGAAACATAAAACTTCGCCACCACTAACAGAAGTTCCTAAAGATATCAAAAAAGAGGAAAGTTTGTTTTTCAAATCACAAACTCCAACCGTATCATCTATAGAATCTAATCCTGCCCCAGTTATAACTGAGAACGAAACAATAACTTCCACTCTCAAATCAAAAGAAAAGCTTTCGAACGATAATCATTTAACTCCAAATTTACTTTCTAGTTTATCAATAGGTATTCACGATGATGACAATCCTTTTTTAAGAGATGGCAGTAAAATGATAATAGAAACCGGTGAAAAGGTAAACTCGATAATAATGACGAAGGTAGAAAATGATCAAGAAAGATATGTAAATAATTATGAAAGAGAAGACTCCCCAAATCTCGAAGAAAATCATGTAATCTCATTATCACCGATTTATGATAAAAATATTCCCTTACAAGGCACTGCTAAAAGTAACGATAAAATGATATTATTTAAAAATGATCAATTAAAGACTGAGAAAAATATAAATGATTCGAATTTTGATAATGAAAATGAAATTAGTAAACCCATTGATAAATACTATACAAATGAATATCAAGTTACTGAAAGAATGACAAATGAAAGCCCTGCACCAAGTTTTGATACAGAAAGGCTTGTAAGATCATTTCCTATCGATTTGCCTGCGAGATCACAACCATCAACTCCATCCAATTCACCAAGAGAGAAATCAAGTGTATGTTATAATATGAAAATGGATCATTATTTATCAGGATATAATCGAGATTTGAACTCTATAATAACTATGAATACGGATCATCAAGGAACGCACCCGTACCAACACTCCGACTCATCCCAATATAGGGAAGATACAAATCACGATTCTCGTGTGTCATCGCCGACAACACATTTAGCAAAATCATATATAGATAGATCACCACAAAGACAATATAACATTCAACCTAGAAGAGCTTATACAGAATATTCTTCAACTGATAACGATAAAAAATGTGGGACATTAGTTGCAGATATAAGAGAACGTTTATTATCGTTGAATGTTAATGAACGAAGTTCGGTAAACATTAATTCTAATACCTTTGTAAGCTATCAAATAAATTGAGTATTAAGAGTATTAAGATATATGAATTTTTTTTTAGACGACAACTTCACCACGAGACTTTCCAAAGCCAAGACAAGGCTATGTTAATGAAGTCAAAACAAGATTTGTAGGCATGAGAGAAAGTAATAATAACGATACTCCACCATATTCTCCGATAAATTCAGGGAGTGATGACATGGTAAGAGACATTTTTATGAGAATAAGGTTTTATAATTTACTCAAATTTATAAATATTTTTATTAGTATCCCGATCAAGTTGAAAATTCCGAAGTAACGATTACAACATCCCCGAGTAATTCCATACTTAATGAACAATGTGATTGTCATAATTGTCAAGAATTAAGAAAAGCCATAACTGCGAATGACATAAGACATCAATCACGAGATTCTTTTTTACCTGATGATATAACAAATTTTGAATAATAATTATAAATAATTATTACTAATATATATAATATCTCATTTTATTTATGGAAATTCTTTTATTTGTATATCGATATTGAATAATTAATATAATTTAACTAATATTGTAACATAAAGATATGCGTATTTTAAAGAGTCATATAAAGTCAAAAGCTGCATAAAATATCAAGACTTTAAATATTGGTGCAAAAAATATCTTTTAACGATTTGGTATGTCCTTTATCAACAGAAAATATACTTTTTAAGTAAGGTTCCTAATTTATCGACTTAAAAAAATCGCCATGGTAAACGCAACAATTGCAAAGCGACCTTTAGAATAAAGAATATAGATAATTATATTATTGACCCCTTAAAACAATGATGGTTTTGGACAAGTGTTGGCAAGTGATCCAAATGACTAATTGTAGGTGAATATTCAATATTGTATGATCTACAGCTACAAATTCTAAAGGATCTATAGAATTAATAGTATTAGATTCATTATTATCTAATAAATTGAATTCATTTACTTTTTCATCATCATTAAATACTATATTATTTATTATTTCTTATTCATCATCTCTAACATTTTCCTCTTTACTTGCTAAATCATATGGGAGGTTTGCTAGGAAAATGGGACTCTGGGCATTTTTTATTAAAATTTTAATTTTTATTGCATTTTAATCTAACATTATCAAAAATTAAGATGCAATAAAAGTTACAATTTTAATAAAAATGCTTAGAATCCATTTTCCTAACAAACCTCCTATATAGTTAGTGTATTCATTTCTAAATTGACTTATAAAATATGCTAAAGAATAAAAATAACTATCTATTTTGATAGCTTTAATAGAAGTTTGCTGATACGTATTTGATTCTTTAAAAATTTTGTTAATCAATAAATTCATTTGATAAATCATACATAATAAGAAAACTTTGTTTAAATAATCAACTCATATAATTCTTCTTGTATTTATAAAAAAAATATAATTTAATTAATTTATAATTTAAATAAATTATTAAAAAAGTTAATTGACTTATCAGGTAACAAAATATTTACTAGCTGAATCTGATACAAAACAATTAAGTTTAATATTATTATTTTCTGCATTATTTATAATTGTTTTAATATGATTAATAATATCTTCAGTATAAGAATGCTTATTGTTAATTTCTTGAATTTTTCAAATAAGAGTTTTACTATATGATATAATTAATACAATATCAAATAAATATTATTATTTGATATTAGTCTATCCATCAAATGCTACAGTAAAATTAAATATTATCCTCTTATGTCATTTTGGTAATATGGGGCCTTTGCAATAGAAAGGAGGGAAACTGCCAGGAAAAATTAATTTTACTTTATATGCCAAATATGATTTTTATGCTGAAATATGTTTAAATTTAACATTAACTCATTTTTGATTTTTCCGGCTGTTTCTCCTCTTTTTATTACAAAGACCCCATATATTATATTAACAAATTAATTGAATGAGATAAAATACAATCACTCATATTATGTCAATCTGATAATTTCAATGCTGATGAAATAAAATAAATAAAGCTTTAGGTTTCTTATTTTCAAGGAATGAAAAAAGTAATCCATTAGATATTATTATTCAAAAAAGTAAAATTTTAATGTATGTTTTATCTTTCTTTGATAAAGAGCATGATAAATAACTTTAATAAATAATTGTTTGATGTTAATGTATATGACTTTTTATCTTTACTTTTTAAATCATATAATAATATAATAATACTTCTTTAAAAAAAGTTTTATTAGTTTTAGCCAATTCCTTAATATAAAAATATAATTAAATTATATTTTTACTTGACTTTTTATCTAAAATAACTGCATATTTTTTTTGTTTATTTTTTGCCATTTTTTTTTACTTTTTTATCTTCAGAAACTTCATAAAAAAGGTTAACTTTTTTTCTTTTTAACTGAAGTAACTGCTAAAATATATTTTTATATATAAAATTTACATACTATAAGCATAGCAGACTTTCTGATTTTCGAATAATCACATGATGATCGACATATATATTGTTTTTTTACTTTATAATAATAATAATAATATTAAATTAATTAATTAAATAAATTAATGATGTCACAGTTTAAAAATTTAAATGTCATTATTATTTATATACAAATATGCATAATAATATATTTTTTATTGGCTGGATTCGCAAAAATATAAACATGTGATGTTTGTACTATTTTAATTTAATTGTGCGATAGAAAATTTAATAGCGAAAAAAATAAAAAAATATTAATTCTTCATGTTCATTTTAAACGGTTTACAAAATAATTTGGCTATTAAAGGGTAATTTAGCAGTTATAATGCTTTAAACCTTCTTGCAAAATACAAATAGTAATTAATACTTTTAATTTTTTTTAGCTTTATAGTAAACTTTTAATAAAATTATTTGACGATAATTTGGAAGGTATATGCATTAAATTTTATGTTTTTGTTTATATTACATATAATATATTAAGTAATTAAATATTTTGTAATACAATATATAGGAATGTCTAAATCTAATAAATGCTCATTATAAGATAGTACTTGTGATGATTTTATTAATGGCATAGTCCTCGTAACGAATAATACTAAAATTCCAGAAACAAACCTTAATATGAATTTGATTGAAAAAGAGCTATGCCGACATCACTATAATAAATTAATAGTGAATGAGAATCATCGGCTAATAAGATCTGTAAAGAAACAACAATGTGCTTATCCTAAGCATAAAGAATTTACAAAAGAAAATAAAGTAGGACGACTGTGAAAGAATGTTCTTGTAAAAATTCCAAAATGACTCCAACCTGTTTTAGATCTTCCTTAGACATACTTATTTGCAATCCATGTCTTATTGCTGTAGATTATGACAAAGAGAATCAAAAATCTTTAAATTATCAACCACCATCGCAAAGAGCACTAACTAACAGTTTTGATCATTCATATGTCTTTCGTAATGATCGTTTATACTCAGCTAAAGAATATAATGAATTAGAAATTTTATATCATGAAGCTCATGAAGAACTT